TGGTTTTTTAATTTTTAGCTTTATATTTGAGTTAATTGTAGATTCACAAGCATTTCACCCAATGGTAACATCTTCTAAAATTACAACATTATATCACAACCAAGATAATGACATTGATATACGTCAGAGCTTATCCATCACCACAAGGATCTCTCATGTTGCCCTTTTATAGCTACACCCACTTCCCTCCCACCTTCCACCCCGCTTCATTAGCTCCTGGCAATCACTAATCTGTTTTCCATTTTTATAATTTTGTGATTTCAAGAATTGTTTGTCTGTACGTGGAATCATACAGCATGTAACCTTTTAAGATTGACTTGTTTCACTCAGTGTAATTCTCTGGAGATTCATCCAGGTTGTTGCATGTGTTGCTAGCTCATTCTTTTTTACTGCTGAGTAATATTCCATGGTATGAATGTACTGCAGTTTGTTTAACCATTCACCCACTGAAGGACATCTAGGCTGTTTCCAGCTTTTGGCTATTACACATGAAGTTGCTCTAAAAATTCGTGTCCAAGTTTTTGTGTAAACATAAGTTTTTATTTCTCTGGGATATATGCCCAGGAATGCAATCGCTGGACCATATGGTAGTTCTACTTTTAATTTTTTTGAGGAACCTCCGTACTATTTTCCATAGTGGCTACACCAGTTTACATTCCCACCAACAGTGCACAAGGGTACCCTTTTCTCCACATCCTTACCAACACTTGTTATTTCTAGTCTTTTTGGTAATAGCCATTCAACAGATGTGAGGTGATTTCTCATTGTGGTTTTGATTTGCATTTCCCTGATAATTAGTGATGTAGAGCATCTTTTCATGTGCCTGTTGGCCATCTGTATGTCTTTAGAAGAATGCCTATTCAGATGTTCTGCCCATTTTTTAACTGAATTGTTGGTCTTTTTGCTATTGAGTTATGTGAGTTTTTTATATACTTTGGATATTAGCCCCTTATCAGACATGATTTGCAGATATATTTCCTCCCATTCAGTAGGTTGCCTTTTCATTTTGTTGATGGTTTCCTTTGCTGTAGTCCCACTTGTTTATTTTGCTTTTGTTGCCTTTGCTTTTGATTCAGATTCGAAAAATCATCTCCGAAACCAATGTCAGGAAGTGGTAGCCCATGTTTTCTTCTAGTTTTATGGTTTCAGATCTTATGTTCAAGTCTTTAGTCCATTTCAAATTAATTTTTGTGTATGGTGTAAAAAAGTGGTCCAGTTTCATTCTTTTGCATGTGGCTTTCTGACTTCCCCAACACCATCTGTTGAAGAGACTGTCCTTTCCACATTGTACATTCAATTAATTGACCATTTATGTGTAAATTTATTTCTGGGCTCTCTATTCTGTTCCATTGATCTATGTGTCTGTTTTTATGCCAATACCATACTGTTTTAATTACTATAGCTTTGTAATATAGTTTGAAATCAGAAAGCATGATGCCTCCAGCTTTGTTCTTCTTTCTCAAGATTGCTTTGGCTATTTGGGGTCTTTTTATGGTTCCATACAAATTTTAGGATTGTTTGTTCTATTTCTGCGAAAAATGCCATTGGAATTTTGATAGAGATTTCATTGAATCTGTATATTGCTTTGAGTAGTATGGACATTTTAACAGTGTTCTTCCAGTCCATGAGCATGGAATATCTTTCCATTTATTTGTGTCTTCTTCAGTTTCTTTCATTAATGTCTTGTAGTTTTCACTATACCAATCTTTCACCTCCTTGGCTAAATTTATTCCTAGCTATTTTATTCTTTTTGATGCAATTGTAAATGGGATTATTTTCTTAATTTCTCTTTCTGATGGTTCATTATTAGTGTATAGAAATGCAACAGGTTTTTGTGTATTGATTTTGTATCCTGCAACTTTACTGAATTCGTGTATTAGTTCTAACAGTTTTTTGATGGATCCTTTAGGGTTTTCTATATATAATATCATGTCATCTGCAAATAGTGACAGTTTTACTTCTTTCGAATTTGGATGCCTTCTATTTCTTTTTCTTGCCTAATTGCTCTGGCGAGGACTTCCAATACTCTGTTGAATTAAAGTGGCAAGAATGGGCATCCTTGTCTTGTTCCTGATCTTAGAGGAAAAACTTTCAACTTTTCACCATTGAGTATGATGTTAGTTGTGGTCTTGTCGTATATGGCCTTTATTATGTTGAGGAATATTCCCTCTATACCCACTTTGTTGACAGTTTTAATCATAAATGGATGTTGAATTTTGTCAAGTGCTTTTTCTGCATCTATTGAGATGATCATATGATTTTTTTCCTTCATTTTGTTAATGTGGTATATCACATTGACTGATTTGTGGATGTTGAACCATCTTTGCATCTCTGGAATAAATCCCACTTGATCATGGTGTATGATCCTTTTAATGTGTTGTCAAATTTGGTTTGCTAATATTTTGTTGAAGATTTTTGCATCTGTGTTCATTGGGAATATTGGCCTGTAATTTTCTTCTCTTGTGGCATCCTTGTGGTATTCAGAACAGTACATGGTTCATAATAAGCTCTCTATATAAGTATTTTTGCAAAAAGTCATTATTTTAAACAAACTAATCAATAAATTGTCTACTCTTTTGCACTTAATTTAGTAGTTTGTTTAATTGATGTTTTCTTCAGTAAGGCTATTAACAGAAAACTAGTTTGTTGAGCTTGGCAATAGAATTATTTATTTTCATATTATACTGCCTGGGTTTTTAAATATCCTTTTTTTTTTTTTTTTTTTTTTTGGCTGAGGAAGACTAGCCCTGAGCTAACATCTGTTGCCAATCCTCCTCTTTTTTGCTGAGGAAGATTGGCCCTAAGCTAACATCTGTGCCCATCTTCCTCTATTTTATGTGGGACACCTGCCACAGCATGGCCTGATAAGCTGTGTGTATGTCCACGCCCGGGATCAAACCTGCAAACCCTGGGTCGCCGAGCAGAGCGTGCGAACTTAACCAATACGCCACCAGGCTGGCCCCTTAAATATCTTATTTATGTGCCCTTTGATGTACTAAAAGGCCTTGATGAGAAGAGTCAACCAAACCACTGTATTGGACAAGGAGATATTAACCCAAGTATAGTTAACCACTCCCTCTTTTGTGACTTTGGGACCACTTTACCAAGATGCCCGTAGGCCTATGTGTTGTCTATCTTTATCAAAGTAAGATCTCTGGAGGTTAGTGCCTTATCTTTGTAACCCCTGTCTGATCCGGAACACTCCAGGGGCGCTTCCATATACATTTGTTAACAAAATAAATGCATACTTTATAATTAATAGATTTTACCCGAACAGTGAGTTATTCTGGAAATTTATATCAATTTTATGCTTAGATTTAGGATTAGTCCATAGTTCTTGAGAAACTACTGTAATAATAGCAAAAAATACTTAGTGCTTATTATGTACCAGGTCCTGTTTTAATCACTGTTTATATATGTGTTATTCTTCTTAAATCCTCTCAACAAGCATTTTTTTTTTATCATTGCCCTTTTACAGATGAGAAAACTGAGGCACAGAGTAATTTGCCTAATGTCAGATAGCTAATAAGTGGTAGAGCCAGCATTCAAAAGCCACGCAGTCTGGCTCTTCATCTCTCCACTGTCTTTGTAATTTTTGAAATTCTTAATCACAGAGTTTATATAAAGTATTTATGACTTTTTTAAAGCTCATCATTTTCCCTAATCCATGCAGTAACTTAGATTTTCTGGCCCACTACTTTATAAGGCAACTCGAACTTAAATATAGTGAACTTAGAATTTCTTTTGGAAAAAATATGCAAGAATTCAAGTGCCTGCTGTGTTCCTTGCACTGTGCCAAATGGATACAGATACCTGGGAGTTTGTTTTCCTAATTTCTGCTGTCAAATTGCCCCTTTACCAAGTTTAGCTACCTATAAATTCCTCCCTAAAATGGCTGTTCCATTTGTTTCTTTCTTTCCAACGTGTGATGCATAAAGGCAAACATTTTACAGATCAAAGGTGCATTCACTGTCTTTATTCAGATTCTTTTTTTTTTTTTTTGTGAGGAAGATCAGCCCTGAGCTAACATCCATGCCAATCCTCCCCTTTTTCTGAGGAGGACCAGCCCTGAGCTAATATCTATTGCCAATCCCCCTCCTTTTTCTCCCCAAAGCCCCAGTAGATAGTTGTATGTCATAGCTGCACATCCTTCTAGTTGCTGTATGTGGAACGCGGCCTCAGCATGGCCAGACAAGCAGTGCCTCGGTGCGCGCCCAGGCTCTGAACCCGGGCCGCCAGTAGCAGAGTGCGCGCACTTAACCGCTAAGCCACGGGGCCGGCCCCTATTCAGATTCTTGAATTCTAAAGTTTGGTAAGCTGAGATTTGGTTTAGTTTCCAAAAAAAACATTTCCCAAAAAAGGAAGGAACTTTAAGGTGTAAATAATTGCTACTTGTAAGCATCAGAACTACAGTCTTGAATTGCTTAATGATGGGGATACATTTTGAGAAATGAATTGTTAGGTGATTTCATTGTTGTGCGAACATCAGAGCGTATTTACACAAACCTAGATGCTATAGCCTACTATACACCTAGGCTATATGATACTGATCTCATGGGACCACCATTGTGTATGTGGTCCGTTGTTGACTGAAACATCGTTCTGTGGCACATGACTGTGTGTTTGCCTATCCTGTCTTAACAAGTTGGTGTAATTCTTAAGTTTTGAATAGACAGTGGTGACACCTTTCAGCTATCTAGATTAAAGAAGTTTCATTTCTTTATGCTGTCATTAAAGCTGTTCTGACTTTAATCGTTAAGTATCTCTGTGGAAGAAATAGATTTAAGCTAACAGATAGAAGTAAAATGAAAACTATATATATGGATAAATTAAGTTTATTTCAGAGTCCAGAATTTTGTCCAGATACTTTCAAAAGTCTGGGTATTCTATTTACATAAATGGCTGAAAAGTTAATCTAGCTATAAAATGTAGAAAAATTAAGTACAGGTTTTAAATGTGCTTTTAATAATTCCAGAATTTGAATTTTCTTTTATTTGCAGCTCAGATCGTCTGATAGAAGAGACAATAAGGTAGGGAAAAATTTTTGTTTTACTTCATTGTGTTTTTTTGTGTTTGAACATAAATGAACAGGTCAGGTTAACCCTATAACTAGAATTAAAGTCAATTCATCTTCCTTAAAGATGAGAAATTCACCAGATGATAATATATTTTTACTGTATCCTTCCCTTATAAGAAACATTTGAAGCCCAAAACATTTGTTTCCAGAATTACTAGAATTAGGCTTTTTTACCTAGGTTAATTTTTCTGATTAATTCATACTCAATATTTTCAGCCTCAGATCTTTTATTCTCACTTTTTATTATTGGAAAACAGTCTTAAACATGTGATTTGATAAATGTCTTATTTATACCATTTCTATAGACTTGGTTTCTATTACAGCAGCTGTAGAAAATCTACTGCAGTAATATTTAGTATTTCTGTAATAACATTGAAGTAGTTTCTTATTTAAGGTAAGAGACATGTATTTATTGGTTTGAACTGCTTAATTCTCTAGGTTTGGTGAATTTTTAAATACCTATCTTATGATAGTAAAAAAGGAAGTTAACTAGGTATGATCACTACAATTTAGAATTCAGCAGTGTCTAAAGCATTGTTTTTCAGGAAAGGTAGAATGAAGTACATAGAAACAAACATGTATATTCTTATAACAGGCCTTGGTGTTGTGCTCAAGTGCTTCACATGCTTTATTTTACTTAATCTCGTCAATAACCAGTGAGATAGACACTGATCATTAGGCACCATCTCCAAAACAAAGAAATCTTCAAGTTAGTAATTTGCCTATTGTCACATGACTAATAAATAGTATTGAGGATTCAGATGCTCAAATCTGAGTCTCTACAACTCTAGAACCAGAGCTCTGTCTAAACCACTGCTGTATTTAGCATGTTATAGAAAGAGTACAAGCTTTGGGGTGTGATTTGGTTTGAAACTTGGCTGTGCTACTTAGATCTCTGTTCTTGGATACATTATTTGGAGCGTTTATTGTCTTATGTGTTTAAAAATATGGGATTAATGATAATACCTACCCTAAAAGGGTGTTGTGAAGATTAAAGATAATACGAGTAAAATACCTAGTACAGTGCCTGGCTGATACTAGGCAATCTGTAAATGGTAGCTCTATTAGTAATAGAAATTTTTCTTTTCCTTTTATTTTGATATTTTGGATTTCAGAAAAGTTCCAATAGTATAAAGAATTCCCATATACCCTTTACCTAGATTCCCCAGATGTTAACATTTTGCCACATGTGCTTTTTTATTTTTTTCTGAACAACTTGAAAATAAGTCGCAGGCATGATGCCTCTTTATTTTATGCCTCTACCCCTAAATATTTGTGTTCATATTTTAAATATTTATTTATATTGATAAGGAATAATGGATTCTTATTTTATTCAATGAGTATAATATGTTTCTATCATTATTTAATAATAATCTTAATAAATTATAATCTTTTATAATAATACGCAGTTATCATATCTTGGAATTTGGTTTAAATTGCATGCACTGGCTATTCCGTCTGAACAAAGTTTTCACAGAATTGCCTAATTGTCAACTGAAATATCTCCCTTGTGACTCCTTCCCTTTCATCAGCACATGAAGTAAGATCACATTTTGCCAGGAGTTCTTTTTTTTTTTTTTTTTTTTAATTCAGTTCTTTTTTCTTTTGCTGGGAAAGATTCGCCCTGAGCTAACATCTGTTGGCAATCTTCCTCTCTTGTTTTTTTTTCCCTCCCCAAAGCCCTGGTACATAGTTGTATATTTTAGTTGTAAGTCCTTCTAGTTCTTCTGTGTGAGCCACCGCCACAGCATGGCTACTGATGGACTGGTGGTGTGGTTCCGTGCCGGGGAACCGAACCTGGGCTGCCAAAGCAGAGCACCGAACTTTAACCACTAGGCCATCAATGCTGTCCCCAGGAAATCTTAAAGTATCCCTTTAGCCCTTTTTTTTTTTCTTCCTTTTATCTCCTCCTCTTTCTGCCTAATCTTCTACGGCCAGGCCACCTTAATTAAGCTTCTCAATTCAAAGCTGGCCTATTTAAGGGCTGGTAATATGAGTTTAAAAATTTAGAGTACCTCCTAAAATAGAGGAGGTACTCTATGAACATTTGAAAACCATTGAATCACTGCTACTATTATTTTGCTAGTTAAAAAACAAAAGACATGTAATTATAATTTTATTTCACTATTTCCCTTTATTTCAAAGTATGATAGGTATCACAACTGAAATTTCCTTGACTATAAAGCTAGTTATGATTACTTATGGATAATATAAAGTTGTGTCAAATAATAGTTATTTTTACATATTCCATATGTAAAAATTTACCTTTTCCATTTGGAGATACATTTTAAAAATATGTGCACAACTGAATGTAGACTTTGGCATCAATGTATTGAAAAGAAATAATATTTTTAGTATTTATAAATTTCCGCTGACACTTTAAATGTATAACTAGTATTGTCTGTTGTTGAAAAAATAAGTGTCTGAGTTTACTTCACAGAATAGGTAGGAAAGTTCCAGTAAGCAAGCACATCAATGATGTATCATTTTAAAAGCGTTGTATATTATTTGCAGCTTATGTTTTGCCTCTGAGTATTTGACCCTTGATTTAACAACAGCCTAGATTTCACTCAGCTTGATGCCAAATGATGCGATGAGATGGAAAAGTATGTCTAGATATACTTTATGTGGTACTGGAAATCATGCATATTCAACAAGATAATAACATAATGTATGATGATAATATCTTTCCTCCAAGGAATACAAAGTGCTTTCCAGAAATTATTTTTTAATCTTCTTTATCTGCTTCTCAGTGAAAGTGCACAAGAGATGGTAATAGTCTCAGTTTAAAAAACACAGGCATCTATGATGCAAAGATTGGCCTCAGATTCCTTGGCCTGGGTTTAAATTCTGTTACTTTATACAAGACCCTAATACTTATTTTTAAATACCTTGTAAATTTATTTTAAAACACCCACATTTTAAATATATCATATTCTATCTTAGACATATGCTTAAACTGAAAAATTATGAATAAGAGCTAATGATGCAGAGGATGTTGTTAGGTTGACTCTTCTTCTTGTGCTTTTTTTACGTTTTGGATCTAAAATTCAATGTAAAGTTGACATTGCCTGCCTCCTCCTGCTCTCATCTTGACTGGTTGTTCTCTAGGCCTGCTACACTGCTCTGGTCCTGGGATGTCATTTCACCGTCGTCTAAAATGATATCCTTTATTGGATCACCTATTTCTTGGATTTAGTGTCTTCTACTTTCTTTGTTTATTCCCTCATTATGCTGGGCCACATCCTTTAGTAGCTTCCTGAGAAAGAACAGGGGGTAAATTTTTTAGACTTGCCTCATCTAAAAAGTCTTTATTCTACCCTTTTTTTTTTTTTTTTTTTTTGGTGAGGAAGATTAGCCCTGAGTTAGCATCTGTTGCCAATCCTTCTCTTTTTGCTAAGGAACATTGGCCCTGGGCTAACATCTGTGCCCATCCTCCTCTACTTTATATGTGGGACACCTGCCACAGCATGGCCTGATAAGTGGGGCATAGGTCTGCGCCTGGGATCTGAACCCACAAATCCCGGGCCCCCCGAAGAGGAGTGCATGAACCTAACCACTACGTCACCAGGCCAGCCCCCCTACCCATATTCTTGATTCATTGTTTAGCTAAGGTATAAAATCTAGGTTGGAAATAATTTTGCAGTTTTTGAAGGCATTGTTTCCTATATTGCTTTTTAAGTCCGATGCTAAATAAAATTTCTGATCCTTTGTATATAATAAGCTTTTTATCTTTGGAAGCTTTTAGGATCATCCCTTTTTCCCTGTGTTTTTGTTTGTTTGTTTTTAACCTCCCCGTGATGAGCTTACCGTACATGTTTTCCGGTCTGTTGCACTGGGCATTGAGTGAGCTCTTACAATCTGGAAATCCGTCTTCAGTTCTGGGAAATTTTTTTGTGTTATGTATCATTTTCTTCCCTCCTTTTTCTCTTTTTTTTTTTTTTTTTTTTTTTTTTTTTTAATTTTAAAAGGTCACTTGGGCCTCTTATCCTTTCTTACCTTTTCTCTGTTTTCCATTTATCTTTTTTTCTACTTTCTGGGAGGTTTTCTCAATTTGTCCTTTCAACACTTCTATTACATTTTTATTTCTACTCGTCTTTTTTTAATTTACATGAGCTCTTTCCTAAGGGATGGATACACTCTCACACACAGACACATGCGCACCATACATATATTTATGTCTTTCATGGATGTGAGATCTTCTTTTCTCTCTCTGAAGACGTTAAATATAATTTGATTTTAGAGTTTCTTGAGCTTCTGTTATTGCCTCTCTTTCCTCAGATTCACTTTTCTGTTGGCTGGTTGGTTTGTTTGGGTCTTTGCCTTTTATGTTAGAGGCTCTTGTCAAGTGTCTGGTGATTCCTGGCTCTTTGTTCATGTTTAAGAGTGAGGCTCCAGAATCCGGTGATTGGAAGCTCATTCTGTGTGCATGGGTAGGGGGACTTGCTAAGTGACAGGCCTCACAATGCGTGATCAGGAAGGGACCTGGCTATTTCATTGGGAACTTCAAAATGTCAGTGTCTCTAAGGTCTCTTCTCCTAGGTTAAGTCTTCTTCTGAACTGAGGACAGTCATCTGCCTGCATGGTTTGGGGAAGGTAATTTAGGGATCTGGTAACTCCTTGTACAAATTTCCACAAATTTTCATTTTTAGCCTTATTCTGTAGTTCTACCTTCAGAGATACTTGATCCCTTCAATTCTTGAGCTTTTCTAGGATCTGGGGAAAACTTTTATAAGTCGTTACTTGACTTGTAGTAGTTCTGAGGCAAATAACAGTAGTAGATTTGGTGCTGGCAATATTATTAACAGGGCCAGCCCCAGTGGCCTAGTGGTTAAGTTTGCCACACTCCACTTCAGTGGCGCAGGTTCAGTTCCTGAGCGCGGACCTGCACCACTGTCTGTCAGTGGCCATGCTGTGACGGCGGCTCACATACAAAATAGAGGAAGACTGGCAACAGATGTTAGCTCAGGGCCAATCTTCCTCAGCAAAGAAATATTTGTGTGTATTATTAACATTTCTTAATCACTCAGGTGGAATTCCTCTAATTTTTTTTCAATTTTCTTTATTAGATATTTATATATTACAAAAGTACAATGTTCTTATTGTAACAATTTAAATAATTTTAAATGTATAAAGAAAAAGTTCATCTCCTGGTAGTGTCTGTCCATTCCTACCCCTTGAAGTAACTTGTATTAACTGACAGTTGTGTATCTTTCTAATACCTTTCTCACTGTCATACAAACATACACAAAGATGTTTTGATTATTTCTTAAAATAAAAAAGGATTCATACTCTACACATTCTGTGGCTTGCTTTAATCATTCAGTATATCATAAACATCTTTCCAGGTTAATAGAAATAATACCAACTCATTCTTTTTAATAACCAAATATTATTTCATAGTATGCTTATACCACAATCTGTTAAACCATTCCAATGTTGTTTCCAGTTGGGGGGCGTGTTTGTTTTTCTTTTACTATTCCAAACAGTGCTTCAATATATATCCTTTTATATATCTCCTTACACACTGTTGTTTCTTCTTTGCCTCTTTGTCTTGAAATTTCAGTTTTGATTCATTTGTCGTTTGCTTAGAGTACTCCCTCTAACATTTTCCTCTAATAGGATACCTGGTCTTACCTGTCCAAAAATGTGTTCAGTCAGCTTCCAGATAGGTCAAGCTATATTAGAGACCTTTAAGCAGTGGCATACCAATGGTAGTGGATGGCCCAGCAATTTTCCCCTTCGGGACTGGGCGTCACAGCAGCTGGCAGACTGTCAGCTCTCTGCTTATAGGTCTCTCTGTGTGTAGCAGTGCTTTCCCAGCTGCAGGGACTAGGAGCAGTTCAGTTCATCACTGCAGCCCCTGCACATGCAGATCCGTATCTTCCACTCCTCAGGATGCAGTGAAACCTAGGTCTTTGCCCCAGGCTTGAAGAAAAATCTGGGCTCTGCCACTAGTTCCCAGGTTCTTCCCTCACTTGAGCGAGTGTAGCCCTCCCCCTGGCTTCCTTCCCTGGAGATCTCAAGAGAACTTGGGACCTTGGGTGGACCCTCTCCAGCGTGTCTGCCTTTGTTCTTGTGTTCCTCCATGGAGGAAATTGGGCCAGAGATGAAGTCAGGAATTTGCACTCTGACCACCATCTTCCAAGATTTTCTTCATCTCTATTGCTTTTTTTTTAAATGTTTCACATATTTTCAGAATTACTCAAGAACATTCTGTTTCCTATTGCTTTTTATAATGTCACTATCTAAAGCACTCCCATGTGTGTTACATATCAAAATGGATACTGACCCTGCCCTCTTGGATTCTAATGTCCAGGGAAATAATACTGTTGAAGATAAATCCTGACAGTGATAGCAAAAAGATATTAACTGAGATTCTTTTAAACAGAATATCAGAGTAGTCACATGGAAGAGACTATACTCTACAAAGTATAGTCTTTGTAAGAGAAGGGACTTTTTCACTTCTCTCTCTGTCATTTAATGAATCTGTGACCTTTGTCACCTGGCTTGGAAACCCAACATAATGTTACATGTGTGTCCTAAATCTGCCTAGTTGGCTCTCAAGTAGAATTTTGGAACATAATCTTTTCATAAATTGAGGGCTGGTTATATATGAATATTTTGTGATATGTTACACTTTTGGTTCTATTTTTCTGATTGTAATTCCCTACTTCTCTCTCAATAGTTTTTTCTGATTAAGGATATTTTAGTAGCTGGCCCCTTTCAAAACCTTTTTAAGATGCTTTTGTAATATGTGATTTGTCTGTTCTTTGTTTGTTCCTTTGGAAAAAAAAAACACAGGAAATGGCCTACTGCCTTGTCCAAAAAGACATCAGAGGATAGCAGTGAGGTTAGAGTGATCATTCAGAAAAAGGACAATGGGGGCCAGCCCCGTGGCCTGGTGATTAAGTTCAGCATGCTCCACTTCAGCGGCCTGGGTTTGGTTCCGGGCCTACCCGACTCATCGGCAGCCATGCTGTGGCAGCGACCCATGTACAAAATAGAGGAAGATTGACAGCAGATGTTAGCTCAGAAGAATCTTCCTCAGCAAAAAAGAAAAGAAGAGGGACAATGGGAAGGTGCCTTGGGAAGTGATTTTTTTTCTTTTTTTTCATTTTCCTGCCCAGTGCTTTTCAAGGTGATGTTGCTCACTTTAGTTTTTTGTTCACTTTTAAGGATATGATAGATCCATGCAGAATAATCTTAAATGCCAGTTTCATTATCTTCTCTTTTTCCCCCTTGCAGCATTGCTATGGCAACAAAAGAAAATATGACTTCACAGAGAGGAATGTTGAAGTCGATTCAGAGCAAAATGAACACTTTGGCCAGTATCCTTTTTGAAAGTTTGAAATCTGTGGTTTTTTGGGGGGGAAAAAAAATCTGTGTGTTTGTTGTTTTTTGGGGTTTTTTTCTGCAGGTTGCCATCATCGGTCACAGTAGAGGCCATCAGTAATTACAGAAAATGAATATACTCTGCACTCCTACTTTATGGAAGTTCATATTGTTTAGTACCATTTCTAAAAGATTGTACACCAGAGGTTTGATGTTAATAGATTTAGAAAAAAATTACAAATGTGAATTTTCAAAGTATTCACAAAATTATTTTACATTTTAAAAGCTCCTGAATCCGTGTTAGAACTCCACAGTATACATTATACATTATTCCTTCCTAAACATCATAAATTATATGCTTTTTCTTTTTTCTTTTCCTAGTTTGGAAAATAAATCAGTGGCAGATGCTTAGAAGGAGGAGGAGGGAGACAGCCGTATATGTAGATGAGTTGTAACTGCTGATGTCTTGTGACTGTGACTCGTGATGCGCAAGCTGAACTCTAGGATAGGTTCCCTACTTGTTTGTTGTGACCTCTACCTTTTTAATTCTTCAGTTTCCCAATTTAAATTAGTATTACTAAATACTTCTGAGAAACCCAGTGGGGAAACTAAGCCTGCTACTTTGAAACATTTTGTTTACTTTCTGAGAAGGCAAGCCTTTTAGGGGGAAAAAAGTTTCCTTCCCCAATTTCTAAGGGGGGAAGGGCCTGTAATTTTCAAAAGTTGAATATCTTCTGGTCCTAAATAATTTAAGATCACTTTTAGTTTGATACCTTATTTGCCTAAGGAAAAGAATATCCTGAAGTGTGTTGATATTTTCCAGTTTTTTGTGAATTTTGTTCTTGCCTTTTCACCCTAAGTATAAAACCGCACATCCAAAATCATACTATATAGGGCTATACAGTTTACAAAGTATTGTCATATACATTATCTCATTTTATCATAACCACAAATTAAAATCATTCCAAAAGAATGTGTATTTAAAAAAATCGAATAAAATAGGTGTGAGTTAGTCAGGACACCATAGAGAGGTAGTAACAAACAGAATTCACAGTGACTTAAGGGGAAAAAGGAGGGAATTAATTTGTTTATATATCTATAAAAGTCAGGAGGGCTGGGACCGTGGCCGAGTGGTTCAAGTTTCGCATGCTCTGCTTCGGCAGCCTGGGTTCACGGGTTCAGATCCCAGGTGCAGACCTACACCACCCATCAAGCCATGCTGTGGTGGCGACCCACATAGAAAGTGGGGGAAGATTGGCACAGATGTTAGCTTAGGGCAAATCTTCCTCAGGAAAGAAAAGTCAAGGGTAGAATTTGGCTTAAGGTATGGCTGGATTCAGGGGCTCAGATTTTATCATCAAGAATCTGCCTTTCCTCTGTTCCCCCTACCTACTCCATCTCTTATTTCTGTTTTCCTTTGTGTTGATCTCATTCTCAAGCGGGTTTTCTCCTCATGGTGATAGAGATGGCTGCAAGAGTCACCTCCTACCCAAGAAAAAAGGGTGTCTTTTCTAACAGCTGTGGCACATGTCCCAAGAGGACTATAGTTGCCCCATCTTGAGTCAGTGCCTGTTGCTAACCTGAGCACTGGCCAAAGGGAGAGAATATTCTTCCTGGCCAGTCTCAGTTTGTATATACAGCTGATGGCAGGGGACAAGGTCCACCCCACCCTATTACGTGGAGTGAACTAGATTATTATAGAAGGGGAAAGGGCTGGGTTCCCTACCGGTAAACTGGACAGAAATATGTCCACTATAGATAGGGTTTCCTAATGCCAAAAGTTTTTATACTTTCTTTAGGGGAATTGTTGATCCTTCTTTTACCAAGCAAGAAGAGGTTAAGCATTTGCTCTATATGAGATTTATATCTTGTAAAAGTTTTGCCCATTACTTTATGCTTCCTGTTCTTCTACATTTTAAAAATTGTTCTTTTTTTCATTAATTAATTCAAAAGACACATTAATGCCTACAGAGTGTAAAGCTCTGTTCTAGATGCACAAGGAAATTCAAGATTATGAGAAAACATGGCCCTAATCATACAATATGTAGAGTATATAAGTACACAAATAAATATAGTCCCTGCTGAGAGTCATTTCGTTAGAGGAAAACGCAATGAGGATTCACAGGGAGTGGGGATTGTTTCAGCTCTGTAGTACCTCTCTAGTACTACCATCCTAGGTCATTTTGTTGGTGGTTTTCTTGACCTTGATGTAACACCTCTGTTAACAAAGAGGATATACCTGCAGGTGTATAGTCAGAAATCACTGCTAGAAATGCAGAACAATGTAGGATCCACAAGCATGTGCTTTGGTCTACAACATACAAACAAGTAAGAACGTGAAGATATTTTGAAATACTAAGTAAAATACAGTGGTGACTGCTATAAAACCCCTAAAATTGAAAATTTTCTGTCTTTCCTTTTTCTGTTCCCCAATTAGGACAGCTAGAGCAGTTTAACCCACTTTCCTACCGTATCCTGCCTACTGCTGCAAAGTAAATAAAAATTTTTAAATAATTAACCAGTACCTGATTACACAGACCCTAGAGTTGGTTCCCATCAATTGTCTGAATCCAAAGGGGCTTATCACCCTGTGGGGAAAGGATCAGGTACTCTTCAAAACCCTTCTGGGGAAACTTCCCAGTCTCCTGAGAGAAGGGGAAAAAAATGCCTAACTAAAAAACACAAAAAAAACAGAAGGAGAAAAAAGAGAGGCGGGAATGGAGTGGGGCTGCTGCTGGTGGTGGCTGTGCCTGCGCCTCCCTGCCCTGCAGGGTTCCTTTGTTCCTGGGCACATTGGCTCCCACCCTGACCTGAAGCCTGGCAGTGATCTCTGAAGACATGGTAGCTGTCATCATTGTTATTTTCTTCTCCCTCTCTGTTAATTTTTTTCCTTTTCATTATTCTTACTGTGTACTACGATGTACCAGACTTGAATTTGTTTGGAACCTTGAGCAATAGGGCATTCCCAGTTTTGGCATGTATATTTGTTCAAGACTCCCTCAGTGTGATTTTCTTTTCCTCTGTTTCTTCTGATCACTTATTATTTCTGGACTCCACTGATCTCTATTGTTGAGATTCCTGGGACTTTTCACTAAAGAGACTTCTTCCAGATATGACCTTAATAAAGATTTCCCAAAGATCGTTTTCCTGCTGTGAACAGTCTGATCCAGCGAATCAACCTTAGGAAGCGGCGAGACTCACTCATCCTCGGTGGTGTTATTGGTGTCTGTACCATCCTATTACTGCTCTATGCTTTCCATTGATGGGACGTCTCCAGGGACTTTTGACAACTACCATTTTTATGCCCTGGTCTGGAATAAGGAAAATTAGGAAAGAGAAAGACTGTCCTGATAATTAACCTGACCAGGAGGATTAATTCAAGACTGATAGTGATGGACTCTGTGACATGGTCAGGTTGAGCTGAAGCCACAGTTTTTCTGTGCAATCTTTTCTAACACACATTTCCTTCTGTTTTTAGTTAAAAAAATAATAATTTTTTTTCAGTTGCTTTTGTCTCCCCAGGAGGTAAGTAAACCAATCAGAAACAGAGTTTCTGTGCTTCAGTGATAGTGTTGAAGGCTGATGATAAGCCAAGTCTTATAGCTGGACTCTCAGAAAACCAGGTTTCTCTGTATCCAAAGACGGCTTTCTCTTCAGCCACCAGATTGGGTTGTGAATAAAAATAGTTCTTGTACTTTTATTTTATACTCATGATGAGAAATCACATGTCATTTCTTGATGATCTGTGCTGTAAATTTGTACTCTGTGTCCCCACCTCTTTTGGTATTCAAGGACAATTTCATTTTTCACGGATTCTTTGAGATGCTGACAGGCCAACTTCAACATTTTTGAGGTTGTCTGAAACAGAAGATAAACACCACAAAAATCTTTTATCTTTTTCTTTTTTTTCCCCCCAAATCCTTCACACACTGGGGTTAACTGCATTGCTGGAAAAACGTCAAGAATGACAGGCTTTTTTTAAGGAGTCATTCATTGTTTTTATTATTTGTTTATTTCTTCCGTTGGGTTAATATTTGCTACCACAAGAAAATGAAACCTCAGTTCTACCATGACAAAAGAAACTAACAGCCATTGTCTGTCAATGCCCCCAACTATTCCTCATCCTGTCTGGATTAACACTGGTAACTGAGTGAGGGGACTGCTCAGTTTTCAGTGATATCTATTCAATAAGCCACACGCAAAAAGACATTGATTGAAGGGTTGCCATCCAGATAATTCCACTTGTAAATGCTCCACAATTTATAAACAAAAGCTTAAGAACTACTGCCTGATGTACCAGGAATTCTGTGTTCTGTGAAAACCTATTCATTCCAAATCTGTTAAGATTTTCCAAACATCCAGAGAATGGTTTCAGTGTTGAAGGTGCATGTGACAGAATCTGTCACTGTCTGCACCTGTGTTCTATTACCATCCCTGGACAGTGATGAAATTTTAAACCACCTATCAGAATTCTTTTCAAGTTTAACCATTTCTCAGTTTCTGTAAATTCATTACTTGTTTAACTAACTACCACAAATAGTTCGAAGACTTCCAACATATACACACCAAGAAAGAAGGCTGCTTTTTTACCATTGGAATTTACTATGGTGTTTATAGTATTGGCTTCAGACTGTGCCACAGAGAATAAAAGATATTAGCGTGTAGTTCTTAACTACATCATAGTGTGTCGATGGTGTCATTCAGGTGAACTTGATACGTAGACTGGTGGGTAGACTAACCCATGGTCTAGTACAGACTGAGAAGTTTTCATTCTGGTGTCAGTTTTGTTGAGTTCTGGGTATAAAGGGTATTTGATATTTTTTTTCATCTATGGGGTTTATTTTTCTAAATATCAGTTGATCAGTTAGTTGATTGGGAATGCCCTTTAAAGAAAGTTCACGTTTTCCCAGTGTGAACCTTAAAGGATCAGGGAAGTAAGTTCATTTATTAAATTCTCTGTTGGGAAAACAAAACTTCTCTCCCCTGACACTTTATTATCTTTGATTTTTCAAAGGGTCTTGATTGGTGGTTGTGCCTCAGCTAGAATTTATGGGACTTTGGTTGCTATATAGTTGGCATTTATAAAATCTGAAGTATCATAAATAAAGTTATTTATTTAATTATACTACCAGTCTTTTTTACTGGTCTGATTATTTGGTACATTGATTAAAGCTGATTGTGTGAGAGTAAAACTAGGACCCAAGCTAATCTAGCTTGCTGCAGCTAAGCAGACACACACTTTTGATGGCTGATGAGCCTTTCCATAGGGGTTATGCTTAAATGAAGTAATAGAATTATGTTGGTTATTTTCTTTATGAAAATAAACTAGTTCTTCCAAGGAAGTTGAACAAGCTTGGTGTAGATGTTGGTGTCAGATAGGTCTGACTAACCTCCCAGTGCTGTAGCCCATAGTGAGGTGACCCAGGGCCAAATGTAGATAGCTAGGACAGTGCTCATCCTTTCCTCTTAAGGCTCCTTTGTTTGCAGAAAGAAACGTTAGAGCAAGGAAATAGACGCATGCCATTTACAAGTAGAGGCTCAGTTCTGATCCCATGATAGCTGATTTGAACTCTTTCCATTTCATGCCATTTAACTTTTTTTTTTTTTTTTTAGCATCTTGATTTTCTCCCCTTTTTTGCTGTCCTTACAGACCAGTTGCTAGGTCAGAGGCCAACAGTAAGTTACTTGTTAAAGCCAGTCAGAGCCCACAGGTCAGAAGGACTTTTCTATTCCTGGTCCCAAATGTTGCCTCTTAGGAGAAGGTATTCTCCCTCAGCCATTGTTTTATATAATGGGTCTTTCCTTTTGTGATCTTTTTAGTAACCACTCAGAACTTTGCATTTCACTAAAAAGTTTGAAAAACTATGACAACAAAGAAAATTTCAAAAGGTATACTTCTGAGATTTTGTTTTAATGTGTGCTGATAACTTTAGTAAAAAATGTTTAATAAATCTATTACTCAAGTTCAAGCCCAGATATCCAAGTGCTTTAGCTGATCTGTCCTGGCTATCTCTCCATTCTTTTCATTATTATTATTATTAATGATGCTGAAGGAGTCTCTGTAACCTGCATTGCTCACCCCTTACTTTTCTAATGTTAGAAAAGAGCTTTCCTTCTCCCTGTTCTCTCTCCTTTTACCAGAATTCACTTTTACAGAGAATGCCTTTTTCCATGCTGCCCAGTACTCAGATCAGGCTTGGGAGTAAAATCCTTAAATGGAGACGGTGATGAGAGGAGGCATCGTGAGGGCACTTTTTGTACCTGGAACCAAATAATATTTACTTTAGTTCTTTCCTGTTGGATGCTGAATATATCTGAATAGAGAAATATACTTACTGAGCCTTTTGATGCAATGACTTTTGGCCTCTATGGAATTGAGGCACCTTGGACTTGCATTCCCACCATTAATTTTCTGTTTCACTGTAAATAATCTCAACCTGATGAAAAGGACTTTAAAGAACTGGACTAGCCATTTTGGTTTTCTAATACCTCATGTTTGATCATTAGATAGGATTTCTTAGAAATTGACTGAGTTTCCTAACTTGCATTATTAAGCTGTTGAGGATAAATGGCCATGTCTAGTGTTACACTGAATTTTGTGGCAAACGTAACAACAGAACAGATGAAAATGAAAATGATTGTGTTCCATTCTCCTTTTGGGTTAGGGGTTGTTTAGCCTGGTCTCCAAAAAGATGCAGAGCTTTGCATCATGGTCTTTATAAACTAATCTTGTCATTCCTTTATAAACCTGCAGACCTTTAAGTTTTATAGGGAAAAGAAAATGAGGAAAGAACAAGTGACTCTTAGGGTGTTTATTGGATGGGAAGCTGAGACGAAGCTGAGCCACGTCTTGAAGGATCTTTCTCATTTTCTTTGTACTTAAGGTCTCACTTTAGTATCAAAATATTCACATCTGTTCCCATGCTATTAGCTCTTAGGGAAGGAAATCGATTCCAATCACAGTTTACCATGATGGAAGATGTTTACTCATGAAAAATGCCAATACAGATTTTTAAAAATCTATTCCAAATGCACTTTCTAATTTTTTGCTTTTAAAATGGCTTCTTGGAACCAGTTTTATTGTATTTGTACTTAATTTTTGTTCTCATCTTCATGTGCATTTTCTGACTGTATAGAAGAAGCTTTGTTATGTAATTTAATAATAAATTAGAAATTTAAATGGTTGTGCGTGTGGTTGTTTGTACTGGCATAGTACCGTTGAGGCAATTGGGGATAGTGATTATGAAATCTTTGGTATTGATAAGTGTTTCTTATCATGTCCTAAGACCCAGGGTGAAACAATACAGGTACGCACTGAAAAGCTATCACCTATCATTCAAAAACATCATATGAATGTTCCACTGATAATTTAGCCCAAGAAGTGAAGGAGAATCTCTTATCAAAATGAAACGTCAGAGAGTATGATGGGAATGTAAAACTGTAGAATTTAGCAAGACCTTCCCTAAATAATGACTTTCTATCCTGTAGATCAGAGCTTGATTCTTCACCCTACCAGAGAACTTGAAAATCCCTCATTTCCCGTTACCTCTCCAAATGTTCTTATTCATCTTTTCTGCATCATTTTTTAAAATAACAGTATAATTGAGATATAATTCACGTACCATAAAATTCACCCTTTTAAAATGTACTGATGGTTTTAGTATTTTAGTTGTGCAACCAGCACCACTATCTAACTTCAGATCATTTTCATCACCCCAAAAAGAAACCCTGTCCCCATTAGCAGTCACTGCCCACCGCCACCCCCTTCATCCTTTTTATCTGACCACACTGTCCTTCCTTTCTTGGCCACCTCAGCTTTTCCCTCCTGTCCATTCACATGGCCTCTAAAAGGGCCACCTCTTCCTTGGGATCCTAACCTTTTTTGCTTACCTAACATCTGCCCAGCTCTGTATGTGCACACCCCCACAGACATACACAAAATCCCACACCAGTTAGTGAGGTAGCCTTCCCTTTTACAGATAAGGAAACAAGCCCAGGAGGATGAAGTAATTTGCTCAAAATCAGAGTGAACAGTAAAGCAAGGATTTGAATCTTAAGGACTCTGATGCCAAATCTTGTGCTAGTTCCACAAAATATATTTTAACTCATGCTGCATGATTAGGAGAGAAGCTATAAAAGAACCAACAATTTTGCCTGATTTTAAAGGTGATAGATTTAGCATCTGTTTAAAGCCTTGTGGCTCGATTATTTTCAAGGAATGCTAACTACTAGCCATGTGCTTAATAAAGAGGACTGGTTTGTAAATCACTATGCCTTTACAAGAACTAATGCATTGAAGTTGTAGAAAATGTTTTTTTAGTGGCTTTAATTTGGTCTAAACTTCCTGCCCAACTCTTCGGAGCTTCTAGGTTAGAACCTCAGAGGTCTTCGTAGAGGTGGCCAAAGCCGAGCCCAACAAAGCGCCTCAGCACAGATCCTTAGTCAGTGCCGCCCAACTCGCAGCAATGGTGCATTTCTCTTCCAGGTGGAATGGTTTGGACGGGCTGCCGCTCCTGTTGAACCTGGCCTTTCCTGGGGAAAGATCTGAGGTTCTGCCCCAACATGCCTTGTCTGATGTCAGAGATGGCTAGAAGTAAAAAAAAAAAAAAAGTGGCTGGAGAGTCTCACTGAAGATGTTTGCTATGAGGACATTTTCTCTTGTTTCTCTAAAGCAAAGTCCAGGAGAGAAACAAATCTGTTCCTCCTCTGGAAGGTGCAGCTTTGCTGGCTGTGCTGGAACAGAGAGGAAGGCACTTGAGCCTGGTGCCTTCCGCTCCCCTCGGCTACGATTCCCACCTTGGCAGAGCTGCTCTGCTTGCAAAGCTCCTTATTATCAACTCTCTGAAGACACTTAAAAGCTAAGGAGATTGGGTGCTGAAAAGTCTGTAACTTCTGCTTAGAGGAATCCCAGAGATCACTTGACAATGTTCTCCTCACCCTCGTCAAATTATCTGTAATTTGTTATCCTGACCTGTGGTATTCCGTTTCCCTCCTTTGAGATAGAAAGCTTTTAGGAAACAGTCACTTTCTCTTAATTAGTACATTTCTTTTAGATATTCCCAAACATCCAATTAGCCTTTTACTGATGAAATTACTTACAGCTTGAGGGAGAGCGGGCAAATATGGTTTGTAGCTACTTTTAACGCAGTGCCAAAAAAGTACGGTTTAAACATACTCATTTCCCCCGAAGTGACAAGTTATCTCTAAGTGAATGTGGCACTTAATTCTTACCATTCTCCCTCTCATCGTGGGTAATATGCTGAGAATATGACATTTTATGGTTTTCACCTTGGAATGAGTCCTCCTCAGTCCTCTCCATTTCCCTCTCCTGTCCCCTGTTGCAGGTCCCACAAGCTGGGGCCCTCTTGTACATTACTGAACTGCACGGAGTAGCTGCCCTCTGAGCTGGGGGCCCTGCCTCTCATCTACGCCCCTCAACCTGCTCTGCGCACAAGCTACCTAGTTCATCTTCCTAAACAACTTACAACCTCGCATTGCTCTGTTCAAGAATGTCTGGAAGCTCCTTCTTATTATCTATGCCAATGTTATAGTGAGTTAACACATGGAATGTACACCCAGCATTTTGCTTCACACATACATACAACACATACTCACAATCAAAATCCTGTTCACTTAGTGAGGTAGTATTCTGCTTTTACAGATAGGGAAACAAATCCAAGAGATCAGAGTAGTCCTGATAGCCATCAGCTGCCCTTTGCCTAACCAGAGTTTCCTCATCCCTCGTGAACTGTAATCCCCAGGACTGGTTGGTGCAGTGGACAGAACGAGGCTTGGAGTCAGAAGTTCTATATTCTGGCCTGGATCTCATACGGTTAGGCTGTGGGCAAGTCACTAAACCACTCTTAAGTTCAGTTTTCTTGTCTGCAAAGGGGACTCTAGCAACTTTATGCAGTTGTAGAGATCAAATCAAATGAAAGATGACAATGGTACAAAATTCCTCGGAATATTCTCAAAAAATAATGTGGGGGCAGGGGGAGTTTTCCATTGGACTGCAGGTCCCTGGAGAGCCAGGGCGGTGTTGTGTTCGTCTTTATGTCACATTTATGAACTTTATGCAGAAACTGACACATAACTCTTCTAAATTCAATTAAATCTGACTCCGAGCCCCCCTCCTACTGAGCTTAGCAAAACAAACAAAACAATCAATCCTGCTCATAATTAAAGCTCCTTCCCTTTGCCTCTTGGGTTGTGCAAAGCTCCCAAGAGTTTTTCACAGTCCAGAACTTTTGGGGCAGGCACTCTAATCCACACTGGACCCCACGCATATGCTCGCTATCTGAGCCCATGCAGTCCTCCTTAAGCCACCAGCTGCTCTGTTTTTATGTCACCCTTGGGCGCAGGGATCTTTGTTAAGGAGCCCCTGGGCTTGGGGTTCAGCCTCCTTGGGGCACCCCACCACACAGACATTCCCCTGCGGTGCTCCCGCCCCTAGGAGCACCGTGAGGGGCTGGGACACTGGTAGGGAGCAAGGTGTGAGCTGATGCCAGCGCCTCACCACCACCTCCCACCGCTTGCCCATCTCCCGTCGCTCTCCCACAGCCCCTCAGTCTTCCCACCGTCCTCCTTTCCCCGCCCGTTCCGGGGTGAGCCACTACTCTCTTAGAAACAGAATGTCGGGGTTTCCTTCGTGGGGAAGTGAAAGAATGAAATGCTACATCTCTCAGTAACTCATCCCAGTGGTGGTATCCTCAGTACCTGGCACGTGGTAGGCACTTAAGTGCTTGTTGAACAAATAGAGAAAGGAATTAAAAAATGCCACAATGTTTTAACACTAATTTGCTTGTGTTTGTAAGCTTAGGACCCAAATCCCAGTCCTCAGAGGTGGTCGTGCCCCATGTCCTGTTGTCTCCATAGGGCTCGGAGGGGTGCCTCCCACAGCACCGTGTGATTCGCCTGCTCCTTAGAATTGTGGAGTGTGGGCTCAGAGTCCTTCCAGCGGTCTCAACAGGGAGCGATTTTGCCCCTCTCCCAGGGTACATTTGACAACATGTCTGGAGACATCTTTCACTGTCACAACTGGGATGGGGTGGGATAGATGGTACTGGTAGTTAGAGGGTAGAGGTCAGAGATGCTGCTAAATATCCTACAACACACAGGACAGCCCCCACAGCAAAGACTTATCCAACCCAAAATGTGAGTAGTGCCAAGGCTGAGAAACCTTGGCTCAAACTGAATTCGTATTAAAGTTGACACTATCCCTCCAGGACTGAAGATTACTCAGATGGGTCCCATAACCACCAACTCCTCCTTACCACCCTTGATTAGCTCGAGCTGCTTGTAGGACAGAGCTGGCACACAGGATCTTCACTGCCCTTGCCCTGCCTTCCTTCCTGCCTCGTCCCTCTCTTCACCCCCATAACACACACATTTGCACCATCGCCTGTGGCTTGATGTCCCAAGCCCTTTGTAAAGTTCCTCTTTTGGAATGGCCTCCTTTCCAAGCTTGCCTGTGTAACGCTTCCTCCTTGTTTTAAAACCGTACCTATGGCGAGTAACTGCTTAATGGGTACCAGGTTTCCTTTCGGGGTGATGAAATGTTTTGGAACTACATAGAGGTGGTGCTTGCACAATGATGTGAATGTACTAAATGCCGCTGAATTGTACACTTTAAAATGATTGATTTTATGTTATGTGAATTTCACCTCAGTTTTTTAAAAAAACTACTTAAATGGCCCTTCCTCTGGGAAGACTTCCTGACCTGCCCCTCCTCTGTGCCTCCTATTTTCCTTTGTGCTCCCACAAGCCCTGTCAATGAACATGGTAGGTGCTCCATAAATATTGAGACAGAGAAAGAGAAGAGAGAGAGAAACGGAAGGATGCGGTGCCCTGCATGGAAGTGCAGTGGCTGTTACGCTTGGAAATGAATGTTGTCAGGTGTGACTGGCTCTTCGTTAACTGCTGCCTCACTGTTTTACAGCAGCCCAGCCCTTCAGTTTCCTTTCCCTGTGACCAGTCAGGTCAAGTAGGCACCATGACACGGGGGGCCTGATTCCCACAACTATTTCAAGACAATCCCGTTGCCAAAGAAAACTTAGAACCAAAGAGTGACCGCAAACCAGGACTGCACCGTCGGCTCATAGGGGTGTGATCACTGAGGAGGTCTCGCTCTGTGGGACTCAGACAGCTGATTGGCAGCTCCTTTAATCCAGGTGGGGCCCGCCCCTTCCCCTTCAGAGCAGGCAGGACTGGAGCCAGTGAGAGCAACAGGGCAATTTCATAGTGTCTATCAAAACTGTAAATAAATATAACCTGAGCAATTCCACTTCTGAGAATTTATCTTATAGATGCAAAAGGAAAAAAAAGTATATATAAGGATGTTCATAGCAGCATTGATTGTAAAAGAAAGACTATAAATAACCTAAATGCCTGTCAGTAGGAGGGCGGCTTAAGAAACTGTATAAATCTATTTCATGGAATACTATTCAGCTGTTAAAAAGAAAGGTAACTTACTACGTACTTAAGTACTGATACAGAATGATCTCCGAGATATGTTGGTAAGTGGGGAAAATGATATGCACGTGCCATGGACACACATTTTTTTCTAAACAGGTTTATTGAGGTATCGACATACAGTAAACTCCATATAGTTAAAGTGAACAATTTGATCACCATAATCAAGATAGTGAACATATCCTTCATCCCCAAAAATTTCCTTCTGCCCCTTTGTAAATCCCTCCCTCTAACCCCTTCATCCCCAAGCAATCACTGCTCTGCTTTTTGTTACTATAGATTAGTTTGCATTTTCTAGAGTTTTATATAAACGGCATCATACAATATGTACTCTTTTGGAAGGGGTGTGACTTCTTTAACTTGGCATAATTATTTTAAGATTTATCCATGTTGTTTTGTGTGCCAATAGACCATTCTTTTTTATTGCTGAATAGTATTCCATTGTATGGATGTACCACAATTTGCTCATCCACTTAGCTGTTGTTGGACATTTGAGTTGTTCCCAGTTTGGGGCCATTACAAATAAAACTGCTATGAACATTCATGTACATGTCTATGTGCAGACATATATTTCCTTTTCTCCTAGTTAAATACCTAGGAGTGGAATGACTGGATCGATTGGCAAGTGTGTGTTTTAACTTTTTAAGAAATTGCCAAGTTGTTTTCCAAAGTGTATCGTTTTATAATCCAGCTTATGAGAATTCCAGTTCATCCACATCCTCACCAACATTTGGTATAAGTCTTGTAAGTTTTAGCCTTTCTCATAGGTGTGTAGTGATCTTTCATTGTGATTTTAATTTGCAATTCCCTAATAACTAATGATATTGAGCATCTTTCCTGTGTTTGTCACCTATATATCTTGTTTGGTGAAATGTCTGTTCAAATCTTTTGCACATTTTTAATGAGTTGTTTGTTTTATGTGTAGAATATTAGGAAAGATAGTCAAGAAAATGGTATGAGCAGTTGCCTCAGGGAAACAGAATGAGCAGACTGGAGGTCATAGATGAGCATAAATGACTCTTCATTTTTCACCTTGCATATACTGCATTTTTTAACTGTTTAAATTATATATATATATATATATATATATATAGTGTGTGTGTGTGAGGAAGATCAGCCCTGAGCTAACATCTGACGCCAATCCTCCTCTTTTTTCTGAGGAAGACTGGCCCTAAGCTAACATCCGTGCCCCCATCTTCCTCTATTTTATATGGGATGCCACCAGAGCACGGCTCGACAAGCAGTGCCTCGGTGCACGCCTGGGATCCGAACCAGCGAACCCCGGGCCGCCACAGCAGAGCACGTGTACTTAACCACTTGCATCACTGGGCCGGCCCCTAAATTATATTTTTAAAAAGAGAAATAGACTGCTTTGGAAAATGTCAGTATTGAAAGCATGCTTTTTAATGCATGAATGGAGACTGTTCTGTTCAGCCTATTGCATTTCAGAAACTCCACAGTGGTAGGAAATTGGAGCACTGAGCCATGAATGGGACCACGAGCATTTTATATTGTATCATATTTAATCATTTACGGTGGCGCACAGGTAGCAATAATGATGTCAGTCCCAAAGCTCCTCTAAGACCCCATCAAGCAGGATTTGGTATTTATATGTAAGTAAAAACTGTTCCAGCTTTTTTTTTTTTTTGTGAGGAAGATCAGCCCTGAGCTAACATCCACACCAATCCTCCTCTTTTTGCTGAGGAATACTGGCCCTGAGCTAACATCCGTGCCCATCTTCCTCTACTTTGTATGGGACACCGCCACAGCATGGCCTGACAAGCGGTGTTGGTGCGCACCCGGGATCTGAACCTGGGCTGCCAGCAGTGGAGCACACACACTTAACCGCTACGCCACGGGGCCAGCCCCTGTTCCAGCTTTTTAATCTCCTCCCTCTTCCCTGATGAAGGTGACCTATAGAAAGAGAACCCAAGATTGGCTCTCCCATCTTGTCTGTGATAAAAGATTTGGTAAATTTTCCTCCTCAGAGCCTTCTATCTACTTCCAGCCCTGCTTCCCACCTGGGACATGACTTAGGTTCGTAGGTGTTGTGTTGCGGACCCTGGGTAGGTAAGTGCCTCATCCAAGTTCATGGCCTTTTAAGAAAACAGTGGTGAATTAACAAGAAATGCCTTATCTCCTAAGACCTCTTTGTGACTCTATTCTGGTCCTGCTCTTTGATCCAACCCACTAATTAGTTCATAAAAATTTCATGTAAACTAAAATTCATATCCTAGGCTGGGTTGGGTTTGTCCGATTAATATTTAACTCCCAGGAAACATTGACATTTGCCTTAAAGAAGTTCTTTATTCCAGGGAAGGATCTATATTGTTGTCATTATTTGAATGCCATTGATTATGCTGTGAAATTTTATTTCAGCCTAAAACTTTTTGCATCCCTCTGTTGAAAATGACAAATTGTTATGGATCAGTTTACTGGTTCAGCATCTAAGCTTTTTTTATTACTGTTTTTCCTGACAAAATTAATGTGTATTTATGTAGAAATAAGGATCAAATAGAAAAATACAAGAAAAATAAAAATTATCTGTTTCCCCAACATTCTATGATAATGGCTGTTCAAACTTGGAATGTTTCTCGTTTTTCAAATGTCTAAACACTTACATGCATTTGTTTTTTCAAAATTGGGATCATATGGTACATATTGTCTTATGACCAGATTTTTTCATGTAATACAGCATGTACAGCTTCCCATGTCATTAAATTTTCATACGCAGCAGACTTTGCAATGGCTGTTGAATTTCATTATGCAGACACCCAACTCCTGATTGTTTAATTGTACAAATATAACCAACACCCTATTTTTTAACTATACACTGGTTTCCAATTTTTATCCCATTATAAATAACCAAGCAACACTTGATTTTTCTCTTTAGAAATCTTGAAAGCAGAATCTATTCTGCGAACTCCCAGACTGCTGTTATGTCTGCAGCCTCTTCGTTTCTTTCTGGGTGTGTGTGTGTGTGTGTGTGTGTGTGTGTGTGTTGAATTGGACCCAGTTGAGCTCTCCAGTTTGCCATGATGAATGTCTAGGCTGTTGCCTGTGGCTATAAGAAGAAGCGAGCCCAAGGACGATGACACCAGAGTGGAGAGAGTAGCACTCACCCATTTAGTTAGAGTGGCCCAGGAAGTTTTCATGGAAGCAGGGCTGAGGGGTAGAACTAAATGACCTCCCCCGAAAGGTTCCTTTTAAAACTCTAAGTCTCATGGTCGCCCAGTACTGCCTATTCTTTGGAACACTCCATCTCCTATTTGTTGATTCATTACTATGGTCATTCTCAATCCTTGTGCCATATTAGAATCACCCGGGAAAGGGGGGTTTAAACAATATATGTGCTGGATCTACCCCACCAAGTTTCAATCCAGTTGGACTGGGGTGGAGCCCAGACATTGGAATTTTTTTTAAAAGCTCTCTAGGTGATTCCAACTTGCCGCCAGGGCGGAGAACCTCTGCTTTTTGGGTTCTTAGCCTCCAGCAGGGCCTGAATCGCTGGCCGTGGTGCTGAATCTCTTCAGGCCACAGGCTGCTCTCTAGGAGTCCCCACTTCCCACTGGGCTCTGTGAAAGTCATAAACAGCTGTTTCAAAAATGCTGATGCATGGAGGAAACGGTATCCTAGCTCACTCCGAGTGATTAGGCTGAAAGATCAGCATTTCACTGCAGCTGCATCCACCTCCCCAGTCAGCCAATTAGCCGCAGAAACAGCAGACGCTGCCGAAAGGAGCTCTTTCAGGCCTGAGCTTTTAATGCCCAGAAGCACATTATTATAAGCTAAACAATACTACATTCACATCAGGAAAAAGCATCTTGCTTTGGGTTGCAGTATTTTCTTCCTGGAGAAAGGAGGCCTCGCCTTGGACCTGGAACTTGGTAGCACCTGGATGGATGGAGAAGAGGGAGAAGCATGCCTGGCATTCTGGGGAGGCAGCCAGCTATGGAGGAGAGAGCATTAGACCCAGAGTCCGAAGATGTGGGTTTGAATCTCATCTCTACTTTTGCCTAGCAGCAGCATGACCTTGAAATTAATCCAGCCAATTGTCAATTCCTTCTCTGTAAAATGGGGATAATGGTGGCTGCTATAATTATATCATAATTATCCTCTAATTATCCTGTTAGAGTTATGTGAGGTAATGCTCATAAGCATATCAACAGAGTCAGGGGTGCAGGGCTGACTTGAGAGAAGAGAGATATTTGTGTTTGTACTACCAGTCAGAAACCAGGCCTCTTGTGCCTCCTTAGTCCCCTCTCTTACTGATGTTGGGGAGGAGAGAACACTCAAGGCGTGGGTAGCAGCCAGCTTCAACTGTGATAAGGGCAGCTAAGAGGAAGAAATGTGAGAGATGTTTTGTGTGGTAGAGTGCAGCAATCAGTAGTTTAACAAGCCCTTCAAGGGATTCTGATGCACACTAACATCAGAGAACCACTGCTCTAGAGTATTCCATTGTATGAATAGCCACATTCTATTTAGCCATTCTATTGTAAATGGATAACTTTTATTTTTAGTTTGGAACTGTTATAAATTGTGCTGCTGTGAACATTCTCGAACATGGGTTTCAGGACACATATGTACACTTTTCTGTTGGCTATATAAACCTAAGAGAAGGATTGTTGGGTTATAGGTTATGCATATATTCAACTTTAGGACATACTGTCAACAGTTTTCCTAAGTGATTGTACCAATTTCCATTCCCACCAGCAGATGTATGAATATTCCAGTTTCTCCACATCCTCACCAGCGCTTGGTGTCACCAGTCTGAATTTGCATTTCCCTGTTGACTAATGAGGTTGAGTATTTTTAAATGCTCAGTTACTATTAGGATATCCTTTTTATAGTGCCCATGTATTGCACATGTATTAAATTATCTTTTTCCATTAAGTTTGCCAATATTGGATAAATATATTGCAAATGTACCCTCTGTGGCTTGTCTTTTTGCTTTCTTAATGGTGATTTTGATGAATAGAAGCTCTTAATTTTAATGTAACCCAATTTATCAATTTTTTTCCTTTATGATTGGTGTTTTTTGTATCCTGTTAAGAAATCTTTGCCTACCCCCAAGGCCAGGAAGATATTCTCCAATATTTTTTTCTAGAAGCCATATTGTTGTACTTTTCATATTTAGAGCTATAATTATTCTGCAGTTGATTTCTATGTATGATATGAGGTAGAGGGCAAGATTCATTTTTCCGTATGGAAATGCAGTTGATACAGCATTTATTGAAAAGACCATCCTTTCCTCACTGCACTGTGTCAACTTGTCATAAATCAAGTAACCGTACATGTGTGGATCCTTCATTCTTTTCCATTAGCCTATTTTCTTACCCTGAGTCAATACCACTCTATCTTAATTACTGAATTTTATAATAAGTTTGATAGTATAAATCCTGCAGATTTGTTTTTTTCCTCAAGATTATCTTGGCTATTCTTGGTCCTTTGCACTTTTATATATATTTCAGAATCACTTTGTCAGCTTCCATGAAAAGCCTGCTGGATTTTGCTTGAAATTATACTGAATATATAGATCAATTGGAATAGAATTAACATCTTTACAATATTGAAACTTCCAATCCATATACATGGTATTTCCTTCCATTTATTTAGGTCTTGTTAATATTTCAGTGCCTTTTACTGGCAGATCCTAATGTCTGTCTGACCACTGTCCATGTGCACAGAGCCCATTTACCTTTACATCCTCCGTGTTACTGGGACAATGAGCAGGGTATAAAACTGTGGGCTTACACCTCACACCCATTAGGATGGTTACTATTAAGGAAAAAAGAAAGAAAGAAAGAAAACAACAAGTGTTGATGAGGATGTGGAGAAAGTGGATCCCTTGTGCACTGTTGGTAGGAATGTAAAATGGTGCAGCTGCTATGGAAACAGTATGGCAAATCCTCAAATAATTAAAAATAGAATTACCATATGATCCATCTTTGGGATGTATACCCAAAAGAATTGAAGTCAAGGTCTCTAAGAAATACTTGTACACCTATGTTCATCGCAGCAGTATTTACGATAGCCAAGAAGTGGAAGCAACCCTAGCATCTATTAATGGATGAATGGATGAACAAAATGTGGTATGTATGTAAAAAGGAATATTATTCATCCCTAAAAAGGAATGAAATTCTGACACATGCTACAACATGGATGAACATTGAGGACATTATGCTAAGTGAAATAAGCCAGTCACAAAAAGACAAATACTGTATGATTCCACTTATATGAGGTACCTAGAGTAGTCAAATTCTTAGAGACAGAAAGTAGAACAGTGGTTGTCAGAGGCTGGGGGCAGAGGGGAATAGGGAGTTAGTGTTTAATGGGGACAGAGTTTTAGTTTTGCAAGAGGAAAAGAGTTCTGGAGTTGGATGGTGATGGTTGCACAATAATGTGAATGTACTTAACACTACTGAACTGTACACTTAAAAATGAGTCAGATGGTAAATTTTATGTTGTGTGTATTTTGCCACAATTAAAAAGAAAAAACTATGGGCTTAAAACTGGTGTAGGAGATGCTTTACCGTTAGGGTGGAAGGCAAAGATGTCAATTTTTATTCTCCAGTGGTCATGGCTGTGTGTCCTTGGATAATAACTTCAACATTTATAAGTCTTTGTTTTCTCAACTGTAAAATGGGAAGACTAATCCCTATTTAAAATAGGTTGTCATGAGGATCAGATGAAAT